CAATATATCGGGATATATCGTATCGTGACCCCTCTGTCATGATATGTATCGTATCGCCAAATTCTTGCCAATACACAGCCCTAATGAAATATCTCTTGGAGCTTCAGGGAACTCATGAAATTTTGTTTTCAGTTTGGAAACCCTGAATATCGGCCTCGACTGACACCAAAACTACTGCATTTATTTATTGTAACTTTGCTGCATAAACACACAAGCTTACACATGTGGTTTTGACAGCGCACATAATTTAAAACTGGAACTCATACAATTTTAAAAGGTTTGACATAAACCTCTAAACACCCTTTCACAGTCGTTTTCTGTGCAGCGGATAAAAAAACTGCACCTAACACCAGATTTACAATCCCTCCTGGCTGAGAACGTTAAAGAGAATTGAGTTTGACAGAACACAACGTTCCATCTGCATTCATGAAAATCAACGAGGGCCGTGCATCTTATGATGAGTGCACAGTTTCACCAGAGATACACCAGGTGGCCTCTAGATGGCAGTCACATCCAGACAGAAAACATTTTGCAGCGAAGTCACCTGAATAATCAATTCCATATGATTCAGTTTAAGACAAACATTTGTTTATTCAGGGCAACTTTTAGGATCAACAACTTCTTTTCATTTTCAGACACTATTCATAAAATACTCACTGAAATTTAAATATGCCTTCATTGAAAAAATGGCAATAATTTCCTAAACCGTGAAGTTTTATTAAAACTTTTAAAATTTTGTAGCTGATCAGTAGGAATATTGAGGATAGTTCTGAGACATTTATTGAGTGTTTTCATTCATGGATATAAATCTAATTCAGATCCATGTTTTATCCATCCATCCATCCATTTTCTGTACACGCTTCTTCCTTTTCAGGGTCGCGTGGGTCACTGGTGCCCATATCCAGYAGTCACAGTGCGAGGGGCGGGGTACACCCTGGACAGGTCGCAAGTCCATCACAATCCATGTTTTAGTTTAGTTAATTTTTGTTTTTAGCTGCTGTTCTGGTAATTTTAGCTTTAAGCTACAGTTCTATGAATTTATATTTTTAGATACTTTTTATTTTTTTGCTTTTTTAACTTGTAGGGATCTTTTTGCTCATTCTAGCTTTTACCTAGTGTTGTTAATTTTAATTAATTTTAACCTTTCTTTATTGTTTTGGTCATTCTTGGTTTTAGCACCTGTTTTTGTAATTTTAGCTTTTAGCTACTATTATACGCATTTTTGCATGTACTGTAGCTACGGTTAAGCTGATCTTAGCTCTCTGCTACAGTTCGGCCAGTAACTTTAGATTCTTATTTTTGCTAATTTAGACTTATGGTTATAGTTTGGGTCATTCTACCTTTTAGCACCAGTTTAGCTAATTTCAGGTTTTAGTTACTGTTTTCATGGTTTTAGCTTTTAGCTACTGTGGTGCAAATTTGTGCCTTTAGCTACTGTTTGGCTGGTTTTAGCTTTAAGCTACAGTTCTGTCAATTCTAATTTTTAGAGAGTTTTTGTGTTGCTACTTTTAGCTTTTAGGGACCTTTTTGCTTTTAGCTAGTGGTTTGATAATTTTAGCTTTTACTTACTGTTTTGGTCATTCTAACTTTTAACATTTTTCTTCATTTTGAGGTTTAGTTACAGTTTGACTGGTTTTATTTTTAACCATGTTTTGCTAGTCTTAGCTCTTAGATACCATTTAGCTTTTTTTAGCATTTAGCTTTTGTTTTTTCAGTTTAGACTTTTGTTGTGATCATTTTAACATGAACAAATTCAGTTTCAGCTTCAACAATGGTAGTTTTTCCAGCATTCACACTGCATTGTTTTATTTATTTATTTATTTTTACAGAAAATGCAGTTTTTCCAGTAAGAAAATGCCGTCGGTGTTTTCAGCAAATGAAGGATGAGAAAAGATCATTTTCTGAATCAGAGCCGTCTTCAGACTCAGTTTATGCCCGATGTGTGTAAACACACTTTAATAACTTCACATTTGCTTCCAGTCAAGCCCTGCTTGTGTCGTTTATCCACCGACTCTAAATGAAACATTAAAAAAGTCGATGTGTTTTCCCAGCAGCAGCATCACCACCGGGGGCTGCTCCTCAGCTTCCCTGCTCTGTCCGTCTTCTGGTCCGCACTGCTGCTGCTGCTCGGGTGCAGAGAGGAGGGAAGAGGAAGAGGAGGGGGTATGAAGCGTGGATGAGTAAAGGGGGTAGGAGAAGAGTAGGAGGAGGGGGGGGAACTCCAGGCTGCCCTATATGGCTGTGGATGAGCTTGAAGCTAATATCGGCTTGAGAGGCTCAGCATCGCGTTTCTGGCGGCAGTCAGCGGTGGCTTCCAGAGTCTGAGGAGGCTCCTTCACAGCCATGGCTGAGGGTGGAGAAGGGGAGGATGAGATCCAGTTCCTGAGAACTGTAAGTAAAAAAAAAAAAAAATCAATGCTTCAGCATTCTCAAATTACAAATCACCCAAAAAGTGTGTGTCTGCAGAAGTTAAAGCATCGTTGTCGGCATCGCTTCTGCACCATCAGTGAAGTTTGGCTCACGGTGCACCTGTCGACAGGACTCATGATGTGGGGAAATCTCTACTGCAGGTGCAAGGGCACAGCAATTAATCCTGTCATGAGGGAAAAAAACACTCGAGATTCGACTCAATCTCCTAAATGATTTAGTCTTTTTGCTAAACCGTCTGTCGCTGCTTATTTTTGACTTTTTATTGGTGCATTTTTCTCCTGGGGAGATAAGTTTCCAACCCAAGTTGTCCTTACACGCAAAGCCGCCCTCCGCGGTGACTATTTTAGCTGTTTGACGCAGATTGATTACAGTGTGCCTCTCTGTTCGGTATTGTAAATGATATGACAGCTTGTATGTTGGTGTGGTGGGAACAGATACCCACCCTGGTGGCCTGACTGAGCACATATCCCAGTTCACTCTGGCCTCATGGAGCTCTGTGGCCCTGTTGTTACATGAAGAGAAATCATTGTTGTCATTCAGGAGGGAGGCTGCTAACACCGGATAGTTTTTCAAAAGGATTAAACATGTCCCTACGATTCATACATTTTCAGTTGTCATTATTTTACTAAGAGTCATCATAGGGAATAATTTGTGGCTTTTAATGGCTTATTTTATGAATTCTTTTGAATATACAACTTAAGTGATAAAAAACAAGAATTGGGTACACAATTTTATATTTGTTTTATAAATGTGTCCATCCATTCCCACTAATTAATGGTTAAAAGTAGCAGTGTGCATCTTGACCACATGTTTTTTGTATCCATCATCAAGCTCATGGCATCATTTTGGTTGGATATTTGACCTCTCTTCTTTGCATAATGGAAAGAGTTGATTGAAATTTGTTGCGCATAGTCCTCATTTTTCAAGGGTTAAGTGCTGCTTTACTGGTGCTTTGCGAAAACCATTCTAGCTTATTCCTAATGTGTTTTTTGAATCAATGTCCTGTCTTAAGTTTGAACCATCTGGTTATTGAGGTTTGAGGTGAAGTGGAAGAGTTTGAAGGTAGACTTTCATTATTTTATCCATTTAGTGAAAACACRTAATTTCCAACAATATATTCAACAGATTGGTTTGAAAACCTCACCATGACTTCTTCAAATGTAATTCTTGTTATTATGGCTAAAGGTTTGACCATACAGCTTTTCTTCATAAGTTTATAGCTTATTCAACGTGGGTACCTGCAAATCTCTGTCCTTCATGAAGATTTTGGATTTGGAGCAGGGTCTTCTTTCTAGTTTGGCACCATGTCTAATACTGGTTTCACTGTGGAGAGGAACACTGGTTTTTCAGCAGTTTCTACTTCATGGCAGGCTTGAGCCTTTATTATGAATGAAAACTTGTAAATGTTGGCACAGTACTCAAAGAAATGTGCGTGAGTCTTATAAGACAAAATGTTTTTTATCTTACCAGTCGCTCATAAAAACTCAACTTCTGCACTTCTCATTGTAGTTTTATAAAACTTTCTTTTAGAGCTATCTCTTAAATGTCAGAGGTTTCTTCTATTATTTCAAATTTCTAGACTTGGATATATAATTTTGGTCAATTCAGTCTATTTTTTGAGCAGATAGAGAATATGGTTTGGATTAAAATAACAGTGTCTAACCAAAAATCACCAGAGATGCTAAACTGTGGGGCCTTTTTAGTTTTTTCATGGTATGTTGGAACAGTTTGATAATTTCACATAAATTTATTTTAACTAATTAGGGCCAGACTTTGAATTATGATCACTGTCTAATCATGCACATGTTGCTTTAAATATATTTTCACGAAGGGACATTTTTACGCTTTGAAGTATATTTTAAGATCTGTTGACATAATTTATTTTAGATGTGACCAGAAAATGTTTGAGGCATTGGTGATACAGTAAAACAAACTGACTGGAATTAAAATGGTGATGTTGTTTATTGACAGTGGTGATCCCTAGAAGAGAAGAGGTATGCACTGAAAGGGAAAGAGAAAAACATTGATTTTTTTTGTCACATTAGCACCTGGGAGTAGTTAGAATATATTAGGCTACAAATTTACATTTTGTCCTTGAGCGTGGTGTGATAGAAGCAGAAACAAATCGACTCAAGCAACTTTTTACGATGCCTAAATTATAAAAGCTAGATGCAAAACTGCAACAGTGATGAAGAAACCAACAGTAGAACCTGTGAACCTGCATTGGTGGCCAAGCTTCATCAAAGGCGGTGAATTCTGGTCTGTGCTGCCAAATCTGGTAGATTTACTGAACCTGAACCTTTGTTAAAAAGTAAAAAAAAGGCCTGTTTTGAGGTGTGACAGTGATTATTTGTTGCTTAGTTGTAGATTGAWCATTTTGCCCGTATTGGCCTCTACCATCCACCAAAAGCACCCCTTTGAGCTTATCAGGTTCTTTCCACTGGACTGTTCACCCAGCCTCATCGCATTGAAGATGGGAATTCATGTTGAAAATGGATATCTTTAGGTCTCCATCCAATCCAGTATTTGTAAAAAGTCAGCTCAAAGAGCTCCCAGTTGGCAACAAAAAACACCAACTGCTGGTAGTATTGAGCCAGATGCCACCAATAGAATACAGTACTTTGTAGAAAATTTAAACCCTTACTTTCTTTATACTTTGTGTCTAAGGACTTTCTTGTAATCTTTCCAAATGGTCTTGATTGATATTTCTCTGAACTTTCTAGAAACTTTCAAAGATTTTATTTTTTATTTTACTTTAGCTGCTTTTTGTTTTCAACCAAATTTCAGTCCAGTCCTGCATATAGTGCAGTGGGTATAGAGAACAAAATAAGAAATATCAGGCCTGAAATGCCATCTATGACAGATATATTTGTGTATTTTTACGGCCAGGAAACAACATACAGTCCTGTTTATAACGTTTCTATTATGTACCGACTTAACTCTGAACCATCTCTTAAATTTAGAGGCCTGAATGATTTACACGTCAAAAAACTAACTGAAAATGGAAAGGTGCTGGACTGAAAATAACCTTGAAAGAAACACATAAACCCASAAAATTATTGGACAAGACCATGTTGAAAATTTCCAAAAACTCTTGACTATTTGGAAACAAAACATACATGCATGAGGGATGACTGAAGACATTTGCACACTGCGACACACATCCAGTCCAGCAGTTTCAAACTAGTTCCTCCTCTCTCAGGTCGGTTTGGTCGTCTCCCAGTGGTGGCAGTGCTCTGTAATGCGTGCAGAAATGTGCTATTCAGGCAGAAAAATAGTTGATTTACTGGAGCATTTCTTACTCAGGTGTTGTGTCCAGCCTGGACTGGTCCTACCAGCATTCTGTCACTGTTTCATGTGYAGTTTGGGATTTAATAATAGTTTTGTTTCGTACTGTCAGTCTTTCTCTTGCTCACACTAACCAAAGATGATTAATGGCCTTGTTTCTCACTGGTCAGGAACAAACGTTTGTTCCTGTGGTGGTTTCAAGGCCTCAGACTCAGGATGTTTAGGAACAATCGAAGGAGTGTTAAACTCTAACTTCAAGATGATCCTTTCTAAAAGGAACCCTACATGATCCTAAACATGGTACCATGCTTGTCTGGTCTTTTGTTTCCTCTTGGCGCTCATTAAGATGTTGTTATATACATTAAAGTATTAGCCTTGGCTGGTTGTCAGAAGCAGGAGGAACCTTGTTCTTAACATCTCCTACTATTTGTGATGCCAGTGAAATGCTGACCCACGCCTCTCAGATTCTACTGTCACACTGGCATCTCGGGTATCTGATGACAACAGCGGCTTGAAAGTGAAGGACAGGGGAGGCTTCCCCTGAGGTTCACAGAGCCTTGTTATCAAACCTCAGAGCTGAGAGAAAGGTGTCTTCACAGGAAGCCTTTAAATAAGAGTGCTAATTGGAAAATAAATCCTTAACATTTGGAATGATACCCAAAGAACTTGTCAGTTTTTTTTTATTTTGTTTGCTACTCATAGACCATGCAGAGGTTTCTGTTCTGGAAGGAGGTTCTAACTGAAAAACTATGATGCTGTTCTGTATTTTCTAGAGAAAATGGTTTCATTGTTTCAAAGTGGGCAGTTGTTGCTGTTCATGTTTAATTTAAAGAGAAATGGTTRTGACAGAGCACCATTCATTTAGTGACAAATACACTCACCGGCCACTTTATTAGGTACACCTGTCCAACTGCTCGTTAACACTTAATTTC